TCGTGAAAACTAGGACGAATTGTTGTATTATATTGTCAGAAAAATACCTACTGTACTTTATCGAACAACTGTGTACTTACATGAATGCAGAAGAAATACCAAAATCAAATACAATCAAAATCAAATAGTCTTCCCTCATCCTGGGACAAATCCTTCACATTTCTATCAAACAAATAAAGAAGAATATTTTTTTTTTTCATTTTTGCAGACGTAAAATCACTTTTCTATTGTTTGCTTAGCAAACCCTCAAATTTGTGTGAAAAAAGCTTTTTGCCTTTTTATTCGTTTATTTTTCTGAAGTGTTGAATTCATTTATTTGTTTTGGAAAACCACAAACTTGTATCAGAAGTTATTTTCCTTTTCCCATTACTGTAAGTGTTACACTCATCGACATGTTTGCTTTATAATCGCCAAACTTCACTTGTCCGAAATAAAACAAAATGCTTTCTCATTTCAGTGAGTGTTAAATAAACGTAACAATTCATTTTCTTGGTCAGCTAGTAACGCGAAAGCGATAATTAAAGAGAAATGGATTGTGGAGTGGTGACAAAGGAAATCGAGGACTGTTTTTGATGGAAAATATGAAGATGCGGAAATTGCATCTAAAGCATCCCTCTCATCATGTTACCATGGTTACAAGTATCTCTTTAATATATACAAAAAATCACTGAAGTGAATCCTTGTGCGTCAAAAGTGTTGATACTTCTCAAGACAGTAAACTCGTTATTGTAGATGGAAATTGATTTTCGATATACATGTAAACATAAAAAGCATACACTCCCTAGGCGTTTTGGAGATTTGTTGCTTATTTAACAATTTCGATACAAAAATACAGGTTATACTAATGAAATGTGGTCATGAATGATGGTTATAGCCGTAAACTGTAATATTTCTCAGCTTAAACGCTTTAAAGGCCTGAATATGCCTGTATTATTTAGATGCATCGTATTTTTGCAGTAAAATAGAAACAAAAACACCAAATATAATAAACAAAAAAAGAGAGCAAAACAACGCTGTTGTGAAATTCCGACATATACTTTCATTGTGTATTGAATTATGATAGAGAAAGAGAGGAAGAGAGAGAGAGAGAGAGAGAGTTTATGTTGCGGGGGGGGGGGGGGGGGGGGTGGGTGAAGGGAGAAATTGGAATTTTGTATTTCTTTGTGTATATATTGGTGAAAAGGCTATAGATAGCTGGACAAATTGTCGCTGCGTGCAGTGCACATGCTGCATGTGATTTTCAGCAATCAAAATTTGAGCCGAATCCTTTTCAATTTGGTAATTCCAAAATCCTATACAGTAAACTTGCATTCTTATGTAGTAGATGAAAATGTACATTTCCTAGTTGCTTCAAGAGAGTTTCTTTCATGATGTTATTGCATGCATGATCATTACTCAACCTTATCTTTAGTGAATGGTCAAGGTAGATTGATATCATTTTTATGCAATCGGATATTTCCCTGGAAGTATACTGACGTCACAGGTCCTTGCACGCGTTCCTCCAAGAAAGTAATCAGTTCTTGAACTTCTTGTCCACCAAGATTTCCCTACGTCAGAACCGAAATACCCGGCCGGGGATGCAGGCCGGAGAGATTAATGATAAATGCTTAATGCGGAGAAATGGTATATGTCTCGAATTACAGCTTCAGGCGATGCCCAGTTGTATTTCTAAAGATAATTGAATGCCGTATTGACATGATTTCCTTAATTGCCGAGGGAGCTTAGAATCCCACTTGGACTTGGGAATACATATAAAACAAAGGTTCTATCTTTTAGCCTTGGTCAGAGATTGAATGAGAATGACACAATTGAAATCCTTTGATAATTATAGCCATTACAAACAGATATTGTTCGATTATTTTTGTTATTATCGTTTTGATATGTTTTCAGATGAACAGAGAATCCGACCGGGTTTCATGAATTTACGTCATGAAACTGTTGTTATTCTCGTGAGCCTTGTTCAATAATTGAAGTAATGATGGCTTTACAATTTGTTGTACTGGTTGTTGATCGACAAGAGGGCGGTGACAAATGGGCGGGATTCGGGAGAGATAGAGGGAGAGCGAGAGAGAGAGAGAGGGGGAGAGAGAGGAGAGAGAGAGGGGAGAAAGAGAGAGAGGAAATGGGCAAAGTAAAGGGGAAAAGACGGATAGGTGGGGAAGGGGATGGAGTAGAGGGGGAGGCCTGGTTGAACTGGTTCAGGAAAGAACGAGAACAGAAGGAGAAGAGAGAGCAACTGAGAAGACCAAGTATCCATTTTTTCGGAATGTAAAATCATTGAAGTTGTAAATATGAATCAGAAAAAAGCAATCCCGACCGGTTGAACTCGCCAGATGAATAATCGTTACCCTACAATATCGGACCTCTATAGTTTGATTAGGCTAATATCCCACCAAGCAACGCGTTGCAAATTCAAAAAAAGATGTAGAGGCATCGACAAAGAAAATAGCTTGAGATAGTAAAGAGAGGGTCCAAGAATATTTTACGAACTAGCCTACATCATACAGAGCATCCAATCAAACTGAAGTGTATTGTATTAATACTTGCAATGATAATTACGATAATAGAATATTTCTTCAAGGGCTTCTCACAACTTGTGCTTCACGTTACGGTCAGGTCAGACTCGTCACAGCCAGTACAAGGAGACGTGCAATAAATCGCGAATTGAATCTGAAAATAATGATGGAGTGATATTTTATTCATCGTCCTAACTTGGTATACGAAAGCCATCGTATACGAGGTCAATGGCATTACCAGACACGCATATGGACACTAGCAACAACAATAAATGGCCTTGTTGAAATATTTCGTTGAAACCATGATAACGCTGTCATATTATGATGGTGTGGTGAATAGAGCGATGCGATTAATAGTCCATAAAAGTGCATGGCTTTGAAATATTCATAACGTGGCGAGGTTGGTGACGATATCAAAATGACAGGTTCCTAAACTAAAATATGGGGAAGTACACTCTGTATGGTGTAAGGAGAGTGGGATGTGATGTTATATATCATGACTCGTGAAGTTTTGGAGTATAGTCGTTTAAAGGGAGTGTAGCATGACGCGACGACGTGTCTTTCCCGCGGCCTGATTCGGGGCCAATCGGGTATGATACGATTACGGACGACGCGACCGAAGTATTCACGTGCGTGCAACATTCGCGAAACCGAAGCGTGAAGAGAAATTCGGTCTGTTTCGCGAACGCTGACCATGTAGAGATTAAGTCGCTGACTACCGTTAATCAAGTCCACTCGTGTACGTGCAGTTGTCCAAAATGAGACGTAGAGGGAGTTCCCCTGTATTCGTCAGTTTACACCCCCTTTAACCGCTCCAAATTCTCAAACAAAAGGCAGACATGTAGAGAGTAGAGAGAGAGAAAGAAAGAAAGAGATATTTCTTTCGGGGGGGGGGGGGAGGCGCGGAATCACGGAATGCCAAATAATGTAAAGAGGCCGTGACCATCGTTTTCCCATTGATCGGCCTACTCTACAACACACATTTTAAAATATTTTATATTTCATATTTGTTTAATATTTCTTTTTACGTTGCATGCTATATATGCCTATATCCCATAATAATGTTTTCACATTCCAAACAACTGCCTAATAAAAGCCTCTTTAACGCACCCTACGTTTATTGAATTAAGTCATTTGATTCGGTTACCTTTCATCTCCTCAGATGATAATTCTACCCTCCCCGAACGGGAGCCCCATTTACCCCATCTCTTTACCCCCTTTCCAATCTCAATCGAACCCGGTTTATTTTTCTAGAAATACGCCTTTGGTGAAACGTCCCATTTATAATGCAAATGTATTGATCTGCCACCACTCGAAGCATATTCAGATGGTTGTATTTTCGTTCGAAAAAATGAAAAGAACCCGAGCAAATAGCCGGGGGCTTCAGGGGAATATGACCGAAAAAATGACGCCTTGATAACTGAAAGGGAAATTGAATCGCGATGAATTGCGCTTGCTGAGGTGAACGTTTGATTAAACAGAAACTTTGCTTATTGATATTTGTGGGGTTGGCATGTGATTTTCTTGATGAAAATACAAGAATCGTTATATCGTGTGCTAAGGCGGAAAGACTTATCTTTGATTGCGAGACATTTTGTTTTATTCATGTTTAGATGAAAGTTGAGTGAAGTAAAAGGTCGGTACTTTGTATTGAGTATATTGGGCCTTTGGGGCATATTTTAGAAGCAATTGATTTAGTGCAATGACGGTAAATAGTGAGATATAATTTGATTATTTAAAGGTTGGAAGTTAATTGCTATGTAATTTTAAATGAAATGAATGTTCCCCCATTTGATTAGCCAAAGTGCAATAATAAATCCGACATTTGATTTTGATTTGAGGGTTCACCATTAATGTAAAGCTCCATTTTATTATTATGAAGGCTCTTCATTTTGTTTCACTGGGCTCATGTTTTGTATTCAATTATGATTTAAATGTATATTATAATGTTCCTGTACCTTTGCACTATATATGCACTTTTGCACAGACCAAGCTCTGCATGTCCTCCTTACGTTACAGCTCGTATGATTTACCGAACCGTCTGGCCGCCCCCAATTAATTATATTCACATAATCCCCCCCCCCCTCAAAAACAGAAAAAAGTTTAATTTTTTTTTTTTAAAGGGTTCACTCTTACGATTTCCATCTTGATTCATATTTTCATCCTTTGAATATGAATTTGCGGTTCTGATACCTGTTAAATTGGAGTGGAGCTCGCAAGATACGTCACATAGTTGCCAATTTGTCTTTGATTGATCGCAACTTAAACAGTTCATAACGTTTTTATTTTTGATAGGAATTCCCCCCAACTTCCTCTCATTGTTCTGGATCTATTAAGCCAACTTAATATCAGGACGGACTTCCCCTTTAAGCTCTGTACCGTCTGGCACTTAATACACGCAGCTATCTTTGCATATATTCGACTTGATATTCGATATGTCAGCTAATCCCTTTCTTGTCTGCATCATTTTCTTCTCTCTTTCAGGTTTTTAGAAAACTACCTTTCGGGATTGCCCAGACGGTGGAATTTGATACTAACAGATTGTTCCGGCTGCCCTCGTCTCCGTGAAGGAGCTGGTACTTTCCCGTCAATCTTAAGGACTGTCATTGTTGTAAGGTTGGTGAAAGTTAATAAATTGCTAAATAACAGACCTCAAAGACTTTTGAGATATTAACTTCTATAAAAAAAAAGACCATATGATTAATAAATGCCCCTTTTTTTGGTCGTGCGCAAGCAACATGAAAGATTTGCAAAAATAAAATAAATTGAACCTCAAGAGGATTCTAATATCAAGTAGGTGTAAAGTTCAAACGGACGGAATAGACAAATATCTCTACAGTAAAATTGAGCTAAGGAGAGAAAGTGAGAGAGAGAGAGAGAGAGAGAGAGAGAGAGATGGGGGGGGGGGAGCAAAGGGGAAGGGTGGGGAGATCGCCAATAGGTCTCAGGAAAAGCAATTACTTTTAGCTTTAGCTTTCATGGTATTTATTTTGTTTATTGCACAAGCGCGCATACTGTAGTATGCATGTATATGCCTAACATCATCGAGAAACACAGCACGTATGCCAGGCACTATTATGTTCTCAGCCCCCATCTATGCTATCGATCTTGTCTGGAAGCCCAGTAGTTCTTTCACCTTTTATGAAGGGGCCGTTACTAAAGGGGTGGGGGTTGGAGGATCTTTGACACGCTTACTATTATTATGCTTATCTAATTACTCTCGGCAAAGTGTTTTTTCTTCTTTTGCATGTGACGGTTTTCCCTACACGGTGTCCATTTTAGTCGTTATCTATATATTTGATTGAATTTGTTTCCTTTTTGTTTTTGTACAACATAATCAAGGTTGATTTTTTTTTAGTGGAAGGTTAATGGTAAGAGTTCATGAAAACTTGTCCCCCCATCCAAAATGGTTTAGCGATGACCTTGCATCCATACACATCCCTTGTCGGTCGTATGACACTCCTGCGGCATATGCTCCGTGTTGATATCCTAAACCTATATATACCGATTTCTTAAATTTAGCCCTGGACCGAACTCCATACCTAGCCCCAACTCTAGATCGAACCTAGAACATAATTGCAACCGTAACCCTAACTATAACTTTGATGGAATAAATCCCGGACTACTCCGGAGCGATTGTCTCACGAGCAAAATGTCGGGTCGCCGTTTTGTCTCGACGAAGTGTTCCCTGAATGGTTATCTCCTCAAAGACAATACTCGTGCAAGGTAATTGCCATTCGAAGAAAATTGTTCTCAACTTTTCCGCACATGACATGAATGCGAATCTTATTGCTCGGACAAATTATGTATCTCTATACCACTGACTACTCGCGGCTATCATCCCTGTCGGACAACTACACAGTTATAATATCAGCATCTTTCCAAGATAATTACCAATTTAAAGTTCCGAGGGTGGCGACGATCCATTTTATAAGACCCTTGATTTGATACCCAACTTAGTGGCTTATGAAATGAAATAAAATGAAATTAATTGAATCTTATGAAATAAAATAGGATTCAATTTGATCTTATAATACGAAATGAAATGGAATGGAATGAAATGGAATGGAATGAAATGAATTGAAATGAAATGAAATGAAATGAAATGAAATGAAATGAAATGGAATGGAATGAAATGGAATGGAATGGAATGAAATGAAATGAAATGAAATGAAATGAAATGAAATACGATGAAGTGAAATCAAATTGAAATGAAATCAAATTTGAGTTAATTTCATAATTGAAATTCCCCCTAAACAGCGAAGAAAATCAAAGAGAAAGAAAATGAGATGACTAAGAGGGAAAAAAGAACGGAAAAGGCTTCAAAAAGAAAGCGATAAGGCCTCCGCATGCCCCCCCCCCCCTCCGATCGCAGTTGGTACCCCCCCCCCTCCCTTAAGGAGATGCAAGTGCCCCCCCCCCCCCACCCCAATAACAATGGCTTGGTAGTCTATTTATGAACGGGACGATTTTGTGATGAAAAATTGCCACTGAGATGTAGGGGCGGTTGCTGTGATCATTTGATTAATTAAATTAATTTCCGCTGGGATCACGGCCAAGAATGAGTGATGAGGATAGAAATCGGAACAGTTGATCACATAATCACCTCTACTCGGGGAACAGACTATCGTATTGGGAGGAGGAGCAAGAGGCACCCACCTGACTGACTTCGGAATAAAGGAACAGTAGCCAGCCACTTTGTACTATGTGCTATATCAGTGACTGTATAGTGCGTCCCAGAAAAAACGAAACCGAGAAGTATCGATGTTCTATCATAACTTCAAGTTTATCATAAGATAAACTTGAGTTCTGGTAAAAAAAGAAAAAGAATTCTCACAGATCTAACGAAACTTACACTGAATGTTCAAGATTACAAATAAGTCATGTGCCAAACCATTTTGGAAGAAAATGTACATTGGATGAGTAATGAGCATAGAAAGATAAGGAAATCAGGGTAGTGCTAGCCCCGACACCATGTGTGTTGCCCCATATACACCTTTCTGTGTAAGTAATTGTTACTTTACCAAGACTCTGCCAAATTTATGATGATTTTGATGACTCCAGAACCTTGCATTACACACCATTACTTACATGCTATATGATCAACTTTTCTGATCCATTCCACACCTTTTCTTTCACAATGCAATCGCATTACCAGAACTCAAGTTTATCGTTAAGTTATGATAAAACATCGATACTTCTTGGTTTCGTTTTTTCTGGGACACATTGTATATTGTATATAGTGCGTAGTCGAGTTTGTCCTGTTGAATCGGATAGTCCTCGATAAATCGAGTGTTTATTCAATCTGTATGAAAAATAAAAGATGAAGAAATCCTTAGCATCATTGCCTTGCGATTGCTAATCACCAATACATCGTTCTGTTAAACCATTAAATATTGACTTTGTGAAACAGGTATATCCTTAGTTTGCCACTTTGCATCAAAATCCTCTTTTTGTATTTACCAATTGTAAACATACCTAGCCCTCATGTAAATGTACTTCTTATAATTCACTTTAAATGTTAAATGAATATTTGCAATAAAGATTGAATATCCATTCTAATCTCAACTTGAGTAATGCCTGTTTATTAATTTGTTCCAAAAAACCTGTCCTTATATATTTCGACTACAATCAAAGAAATACAATCATGACCTCTTCAGTCCAAATATTCTCACACTGTAACATCTATCAATGTAAAATTGATACAAAACCAACATCTGTTTCATTTACCCACTTTCTAAATTGAAGTGTTTCTTACAACAAAAACCAGAATAAAAACTTCTCAAATGTTACTGTTAATGCCACCAAATAAATCCATTATTTGATGTATTATTTATACAAGCACATCAACACACATATTTAGACAAATATGGTATTAACCTAACTGACCGAAAATACTCTCGCCAAACCTGGCCATACAAGTTGCGTACATTCCACGCTCGTTAGTTACATTTCATTTAACTCTACATTTCTACATTATATATTTGCTTAATTGCCTCTGAACCAATTGATAATTAATACGTACATCTTTGGCAGGATCTACTCGAAACCGTGGAACACAAATTACTCCTCTCGGAGACATTTGTGACAAAACTGTTACATCAAAAATGGTGGACAAACACGTCCGTTCTCTGACTTGATGATGTGGCTCTGAACTTAGCCGTGACTTACTTTTGCCACGTACCGGTCCCAGATATTCTAAGGTGTCCTTAAAGAAACACATGTGATCTTCTCAAAGGAAAATAAGAAAACTTCTTAATACATGAAAAATCGTCTAAATTCTTACTAGACAAATCACAAATGAAAAAATGACATTTTCACTGAAACAGTGGTTCTCCTTCTCGAGTCACTGCACAAGCCCGGTCCTAAGTGGATCGCAGAAAGAGGACAGTTTTTTGCCCCCTAATAGGCCATGGTCCGGATACGCCATTTGAAAAAAATAGATATATTTATCTCCCCGTTGGAAGATTTAATCACAGCGAGGAGGATTTAAAAATAGGTAGAACATAATTTCGGAGATCATTTGCTGATCCATCTTGGATGAAAACGAGCTTGTAAAGCTTTCCAATTTTGCATGAATTATTTGTTTATGAATTTATTTGGCGACACTCGGGTGGTAGGGTATTTACAATCACGCATACACTCTAAATATAATTATTGCAAATATGTTGTCATTCAACCCTTGGATGGAAAAAATCTATTCCATCATAAATAACGTAGAAAATGAAAGTTTATGAAATTTTCAGTACAGAGCGAATTGGAGAGGACCTCGCAAGATACGTCACTCCCAGTGTTGCCAATTTGTGTTTGATTGATCGCTACTTCAAAAAAGCATACATTTCTTATTTTAACTTTCACTGACTTGGTCATCTCATTTTTCTGCTTCCATTAAAATAAGCTTAATATCAGAGGAAACTTCCCCTTCAACTGAATTTAGGGGGAAGCATGATAGAGACGCAGTCGCATTTGTCTTTTTTCATTATATTTGTATTACATTATATGTTGGTGGTAAAAAATGAATTTTTACAAGAAACCTCACAAGTTTTAGGGAAGGATCTTTGATAAGTTTAACCGACAACATATTGTAAGCAATTGAGAAGCTTTTTATTTTTATTGACTGCAAGGTTTTACAGCCATTTATTACAAACATTTTTTATCATGATATTATTAATAGTCGAATTGACTAAAAACAAACATATTCATTTTATTCTTCTGTCGATGATGTTTAGAGATTATTATGTTGATTTGTTCAAGATTTTGATTTAAGATTTTTTTTTAATGTTGAAAGCTCTTTTTTCTTCTCTGAATAGCCAACTGAGTTCTCTTATTTCCCCTAACTTAGATGATATATTCTTGATGTATATCACCACTGTTTGTGTATAGCCGTTAACAAGTCTAAACAACAAGATACTATCCTTTTTTAAGTGTGTGAAAAAATTGATTCGTCCCGAGCTATGTTACTTGAGAATGTGACACATTAAATTTTACATCTAAAAGTATTCCAACAAAGACCCTAATTCAATTAGTCTACCTTTCATTCTTCAGTTACGAAACACACATACCAAAAGCCCCCATCAAATATCCCCCATCACATGTACAAGGGGCATACATTACTT